ATCAGTGTTACTACCACAAATAGCATAATCAGAAGATGGTTGGAAATATTGCTATGCTTTCTCTAATAGCATCACTGTATCATTGCCACCCCTCCCTTGCAATCACCTAAGGCTGGGAGGGAACCGCCCCCACTAAGGTTACAGCATGACAAGTGGGGGGATTGTATCTTTCTAGACATATCAAGGATTGTCTATTGGGGATGTAGCATTTGACATATTTTTATAAACATTATTACTTTACTATGCAGAAGGAAAAGAGTGGTAAGAAACAGAATAAAAGGAGGGAAGGAAAGACAAAAAATGTACAATACATATTAAGAAAAACTCTGTTTTTAAGCACAGCAGTAAACAGTTAAAATTAGTTGCATCTACAAAGAATATTTTGAGAGACAATTATTCCAAGATATTTAGCGGTACTCAAACATCAACAGTCAGCTGAATTTATAGAAGGTAGATGGGATTAACTCTTGTTAGTTGGAGAATTCTGATAATTAATCAAGTTATTGGTTAATACTTTTTGAAAAAGCGCATTAATAATTATTAATAAGATATATTGTATCCTCAGAATTTAAAAACATTTTTAATACATCTCAATCATTTTTATGTGGTTTATATGATGAACCAATGATTTTATCATCAAACTAAGTAAAAGCACACTTATGATTGTAATAAGTACGGAAATAATTCTATTTTTAATAATCCTGGCTAAAACAATAGAACACTAAAATTATGAGAAAATATTATTTATTTGCTCCAGACATTTTCACTGAACCATATCAAAGGTTGTTTCCATGTCTACCAATTGACTGATTGTTTGCAACCAAGTCATTTTTGACTCCTAATGAGATAGATTGATTTTCTATCACTGACAATCTATCCCTAACCTATTATTTCAAGTCTCCCACTCTGCTGTTGTTCATCCTGTTCTTCTCTTTCCTTTCCCAGCATTAGAGCTTGTTCTAGAGAGCTTCTCTTCCCATAATGTATATGACGTAGGATTATTTTGATCTGGTCACTTGTGCCTCAAGTGAGAACATAGTGTCACAGGGAATACCATGGTAAATTGAATTCAATATATATATATATGTTCTGTCCCCCCTTCACGGCTCTTAACAAACGGCAAGAAGAATAAACTTAAAAGGAACTTTATCAGTTCTCAGTTCAAACTGGCTTTGAGGCCAAAAATAACATAAATACAGTCTCTGACTAGATAACAGAATGAAAAACAAAACAACTCTTACAAGCAATGCACTTCTCCAGTGTAGCCTTGAATCAGGGTTACAGGAAACACCAAAGCACTTATCCAAGTGCTGATCAAGCAATGTTGTACCAAACAAGAAACGCACGAAGGAACGTTGATTCCTGCGACTAGGGCATGGCAGCATCTGTCCTTTTATCTCCAAACTTGCCCC